CGGGGCAACGTCGGACCGGCGACGGGGGAGGCGCGGACGGTGCACGTGCACGTCGGTAAAGCTCGAGCGGTGGCGGACGCGCGAGTGTGGGTGGCCACCGCGATCGCGCGACCGCTGCGACGACGACGTGCGGCACGTCCGCGGCGCGTTTTAGTCACGGTGAACGCGCGCGGCGAGCGTACCGGAACCCGCGGAGCGCGGCGGCGGCGGCGGCGGCGGCCCGTGGGTCACGGATGCGCCCGTACATAACGTGTACACGTATGATAGATGCCGCTCACGTTGTACGACCCGTCGCGCGGTAAATATTACGACCGCCGCGGCGGCGGAGGTCTCTCTCTCACGCGGTCCCCGCCGCCGCCATCCGCTCGTTCCGTAACCCCGACGCGCGCACACAAATCTATTTAGATACACTTCTCTCGGGGGCCACCGCCACCGGACCACACGGTGTTAGGAGAGAATAAATTAAAAAAAAAAAAAAAACAGTATAATAATAATATGGTCCACCGATGCTGCTGCTGTTCCGTATCCTCCGTGCCCCCTCCGAGCGCGCGGTGATTTTTTTTCCTCTTCTTCTCTCTCTCTCTCTCTCTCTCTCTCTCCCCCCTCCCACCGGTCGTAATTAATTGTTTTGAGGTCGTATATTTTTCGTCTCGTGTATTGTTTTCGCTCCGGCACGGGTTAGAGTAAAAATACATCTCCCACTACTACTGCACGTCCGTAGTATACCTAACCGTGTGCTAGACGGCACGGGAGACCGTCGCACTTTACTACGTCTGTCGTCGGTCGACGGACAACGCGCTCGGATTTGGCCGAAGAACAACGGAAGGTTTTCCTGTGCCGCAAGGATTATGGGTTTTTTTTTTCTCTCTCTCTAGATTTAGCACGATTTTATTATCGCCGTTATTGTTTCTAACACCGATGGATCTGCTTTTATTGGTTTTGCTTTTCGTCGAAGCTTATCAAAAAGTATTTTTATAAAGGTCGTTGCCGCTCGAGAAGAGAAAAAGCACGGAGCCAGCACAAAATCATATTGATTTCTCGTTCGACGCGTCTGAACTATTATAGTGGGACGTGTAGCGAGTTTGGAGTCGTTTGAATCGTAACATTTAAATTCCTTGGTCGTGTAGTTAAATGAACGTGTATGTTTTTGAGGTCTCGACCACGCAGCCGGTCTTTTGGAAAAATTCAAACCACTGCTATCTTAACATGAAAACAACAATGTTAAACCTATATAACCGATCGCCAAGTATAACGGTGACAACATGGATTATGGATAAGGCGCCGTTATCGTGCAGAAGATTAATAATCGTTCGTTTTAAATATTTGAAAGGACGACCGCGAATCGTATATCCGCGCGATTGGTCGTCTTCAAAATATTATGTTGTAATATTAGTATAAATGTAGATGGTCGCGGCACCACGGAGGATAACCGGTGGCCCGGGCCAACCGAACGATGGGAAAACGGTCAACAGCAGCAGCGTCAGAGACGTGGATACAAAGTGAATAATATTAGTGTATATATTATGTATAATATGCGTATGGACGAAAAAAAAAAAATAATAATAAATATGAAGAGTAAACCGCATACCAAACGACTAATCAAACTACTATATACCGCGTGTACGCCGCAACAACGACGGTGGCGACGGCGGCAGTGTACCAAAGCCGTTCATGCGACAAAAATCTGTTGAAACATATTTGAAAAAATTTCCCGTCGGTATTCTTTTTTCGTTTTTTTGTTTTTTTTTTTGTTTTTTTTTTTTTATCATATACATATTATTTGTCTTCAACTTCTACTACTATGATTACCACCTACAGGCGTAGCGCGATGAATCTAAGTGAAGGACGGGGACAAAACCTATGATGGCGAAAAAAATAATCTTGCAAGCAATGTTTCACGTGTATCATGTTAGATAAACGGGGGTACCAAACGCAGGTACCGGGTATTTTCCGGTGGGACGTTTTTTTCTCAATGGGTAGTTTTTTTTTTTTTTGGTTTATCGGTTTAGACAGTAATAGACACATTTTCTAACGCGATTGCATTAGAAACCGTTTAGAATTAAATAAACGGTATCTTAATGTTTAATTATAATATTAAGTGTTCTGAAAACAATATACAATCATTTTATATGAAAATATACGTATTTTTTCATGGTTGTTTTTATACCTTTGGTATATCTAAGTGGGCTGTTCCCGGTAGAAATGTCTAACCCAGCCGGTCCTGACCGAACGAAAAAAAACGGAGTGGTATGGCTCCATTTTAGATCCACCACCATTGCACGCCTACGCTACCGCCCTTAGCATCGTAACTACAGACGGTCCCCGGGATACACGCGAATCGCGCACTACGGAACGACGTTGGAATCGGGATCGAAAAACTATAATATGACTTAACACTATTGTAACGGTACGGAACGATGAACTCACCATACGGCCGGCCTCGTTGTTGTGCAGGTTCATCTTCTCGCGGAGGCTGCGACCGCGCTCGCCCGTGTCCACGAACAGCCTGGCGAACTTGTACCCGAAATCGATGTTGTCCGAGCAGCCGCCCCATTCCCAGTCCTTGACGCCGGGCACCGAGTTCTGGATGTACGGCCCGCGGCGTTGGTGCGTGGTGTCGCACGTGCACGTCTCGATCACGCCCTCCGCGCACGCCCTGGACACCGCGTGCGTCACGCCCGCGCTGGTGATCGCGTATATGAACGCGGTCTCCCTGAAACCTGTGCGGACACAAAAAGCACGCCCACATGACGTTCCGTTACTATCGGTGTTGATACGTATTGTTCTGTTGTCGACGCGTTATCGATACGTGCGTGCCGTACGTATCGAACGCGACGAATGAAAAAAAAAAAGAAATTAAAAATAATAAACACTTAAACGACCCTGTTAGTCGTACGCGCGCGTAAAGACACCTCCTAATATTAAGGACGCGCGCGCGAGTGAACCGCCTGATCAATCAACGGTTCTCGAGTCCACCGGAGTCACACACTTTAGGTTTGTACACGTAACCGTAGTACTTGTGTACACACGCGTCTGTACGTCCTAGTGCGCGTGCGCGCGTGCTTGTACACGAATTCCGATCGCATACCGGCGCTGTTAATTAAGATGCACGTCAATGACGATGACGTCGACGGCGACGGTTTTGTGACTAAAAGATATTTCCATCATCTCTTCTCGACCGGAGAAACTCGTTTGCGCGCACATTCAAAACATTTTACCCGAAAAGCGTCTACGGTACCAACGCACTATTATGGTACTACACGACGACAAGGAAAAAAAAAAAAAAAAACTCATCTCGTTCGCGTTAAAAGTTTGTACAGCCGTACATGGCAGTACGGGTAGGCACCTGTATAGGTATAAAGGGTTCTTGTAGACGGACGTGTGTCTGAAATATGGACGTCCGAAGAACGTTTCGTATAATTTATACTACGACCGATTCGGCGCGATAAACAGTAGGTCTCGACAACACGAATCCGGATATTTATGTTAAACGGTGTAGCGTGTATAATATTATGTTTTTTTAATACGTCATTGTAAACAGCGATAAGCGCACAAAATATTATATCGTACACGTAATGGTACCACACGTACACGATATCACGATACAGACGAAACGCGTGTCGATGAACGTTTATTGTATAAATACGATGTTGATGAATGTTGGCCTACCTGAAATTAATGATGTGTTAAGCAGATACGCTTAATTGATATGCGAACGTCGTGCATAATATCCTTCAACGGTCCGTAAAATTAGTTTTGACAAAATCCAACGGGATGGGCATATTAAATTGTGTTCGGTATAAATGTAATTAAATGGAAAAACGTCGAAATCGAATCGCAAACGTAAATAAACTTTTAGCGTACTACGGTCTTGCGTAACGCACGTGTGTGGCTGAAGCAGCCGCGGCCGGGGAACGACGAGGTGGAAAAGGGCTCGTGGGGGTGGATGAATCGACGGAACACGAACGCGGCGAGCCGTAATAATTTGTCCCCGCGCGCGCTCGAAAATAATAATTCGCGTTTAAGTATACCATCTATAAACGTTGGCCGGGCACTACCGTGCGCATTATGTTCTACCTACCGCGGTAACCGTGCGCGACGGACGTGACGTGCGCGCATCGGTGTAGATAATAATATTATACACGCGTTGCCGAGAACCGTATAAAAAAACCGAAGCGTATACGGATAATTGTAATAATAATAATAATAATAATCGATCGCCATCGCGCGCACCGCTGCGTTGACGCGGCGATTATAATAATGCACTGCGGCGATCAAATCGTAAAACGCGTGTTGTATGTACACGTTATTGTAGCGTCTGTCGCGCACGCATTACTGCTGCTGCTGCTGCTGCTGCTGCGTGTAATGTACGGTGCGCGACGACCGCGACGGTACGGATAATTGCTGCGCCGTGTTTACGAGAGAGAGAGGACCCGCGACGGAGTCGATGACGCGACCTCACGCCGCGGCGACGCGCGGCACCGGACGACGGACGCGTTTCGGTGCGGTACCCGTCCGCCGCGGACGACGCGGTCCGCAATCGTGTGCGGATGGGGGAAGAGAGAAAACCCGAAAAGAAAAAAAAAAGTACGGGAAATAAAACAAAAAAAAAAAAAAAAAAAAAAACAATAAAAAACGAAGAAAGGAACGAACAAAAAAAACCTCTTAACCCAGCGCGTTTCGAATAAATAACCCGTGTGGCAACAGTATAATGCCATAACGGTGGCGCGAGTGCGTGAGTGCGTTAAAAGGTATGTGTGCCGTCCGCGTACGCGACGAGCGGCGACCGTGGGAGCGTTCGCCCGCGCGCACCGTTACGGATGGATACGGTAAAACGACGGACGCGGGTGCGATAGTGCGAGCGCGGCGCGCACACGGTGTTCTTGCAGCAGCACGCCTCCCTTGGCAGCCGATACCTGTACAATAATAATAATAATAATAATAATAATAATAATATATTTATTATATCGGTACCGCCGCCACCAACGCTGCGTCGCGAATCGAGTGAAATAATGTGAAAAAAAAAAAAAAATGAGAAAAACAACCCCCATCCCTTTTACCTACGCGATAATGGTGCGTACGTACACGTTCGCACGTAAAAACGGTCGACCGAGAACGGGGACGGGCGAAATTACACGGACATAAATCTGCGCGCGCGCGTAACGAAAATGTGTCGACGACGTGCCCCCCCGGACAGACGTCTCTCCGCGTGCACCGCGTGTAATGTATAATGACCATGCATCCGATGTCCTTCTGTATTTTACACGGTGATGTCACCCCCGCGTACGCGTACACCGCACCGAGTGGCTACTCGTATTTTTCGACCGCGTCCCATCGTAATGCGCGTACAAGTGTGCATAACGCGCGACATTCTCAAACTCCATTGTGCGTCAAAGTTTCCGTGAGCCCCGCGCGCGTATCTATACGTATTCGAACCAGCGGGGTGGCCGAGAACGACCGACCGCCTCCTTCTCCTTCCCTCCCCCGGATCATCGTTCACGTACACAGGCGCACAAAGATGTTATTATGCGACCGTGGTTTTCGTTGTTCCCGGGATGCTATCCATACCCCCGCGAACACGCAAAATATACGTACATTATGTTCAACAGCTGCCGCCGGAATGCGCGTTACGCGACTAGTACATGCACACGTAACGCCGCATCAGCGGCGATTCTATGGGAAAGGGATGGGAGTGTACAAAGGGGCTGTATTCGTTTTTCAAAGTATCGGTTTCGGTTTTGCTAGTACGTATATTTTCTTAAACGCACCGGTGCAATCGATGGATTCGTGTGTTCAGTTGTTATCGGAGCGAGTTCAATGCGGTTTCGGCGCACGTTCGATCGTGAAATCCAATACGCAGCGGTAGGAATGTGCGAGAAAGAGTTTCGTCGAGAACTTTTCCCAACTCTCCGGGGCCACCTACGAATCGTCTGTGTACCCAACGAACACGGTACGACCTTACGCTTCGCACGGCGTTGCAGGTGCAAATCACCCATACAGGATGGGATTGCGGTAAATCCCGCCCGGACCCGGTGTTCGACTAACCGAATTCAACGGCGGCAAGACAGCGGACGAGCACACCGAGCGCACAAGTATACGGGTATTGTGCACCTGTCGTGGTGCGACTTTTCCTCAAAAGTTCTAACGCGACGCGTTCCCGTGGACCCGTCGGTGGCGCCCCGTCGTTGGCAATCGTCACGCGCGCGCGCAAACACAAGTAAGAAACGGTGTAACGGAGTCGGTCCTCCAAGACGACGGGCGCAGCGGAAAGGGTACGTGCGCGCCTGTACACGTAATATGTATATTATTACAGGATAATACGATAATAATAAAAACGATATTACGCGTCGGTACCTGTTTTACGTTTGTACGCAGCGCCGCCGCGGCCGCAGCATCAGCGTGTGGGTATATTATTAAAGTGCCCGACGAAAAAAAAAAAAAAAAAAAACAAACACACACACATACTCGCACACGCACGCACGCGCACACACGCACACACTTACAAACACGTTTTTCTAAACGAAATAATTTGACTGGTTTACAGTGAGCGTGCAACCCGTCAAATAAAAGACACGTATATATACCTTAAATCGTGTAATAAATAATATGCGCGCGATAGACCGACGGGGGGAATCGTCCGTCCGGGCACGCCGCGGGAAACCCTATGATGACGTTATTAGTCGACTAATAATCCGACGGCGGCGGCCGGGAGGTCTAATGTCAACACGTTCTTCTCTTTTCATCTCGTCGTCGTCGTCGTCCGTCGTACGCGCACGGTCCATACCCTCTTCCACCCCCCTCCCACCCCCATCACGTACTACTCGTCACTCTTGTTTATTGTTTCCCTCCCCCCCCCCTCGCACTTTATTATTATCTCGTAATGCGCGCGTAGTGTTCGTCGTCCGGTACTTGGTTGTCAAACTTAAATTATGTGTCCGCCCGCGAGCGGTGCGTATAATATTACGCACGTAAATAATATAACATTATTTACACGCGACCGTGGTGCACGGTCGAGCACCGTATAAACGTTACGTTCTCGGCAAAAACGAATAAAAATATCAAAAACGCAATGATTTTCGTGTTGGATTTGCGTTGCGATATCGGTGCACACAGTTGCAACGCTGGGTGAATTCGAACGGTTTAACCGGTCGAGAGACTTAAACGTTCGATCGACGGCCGATAGGAGGAGGAGACGCAACACGACCGTTCGCATTGTATATGGGTCACGTGCGCGCGTGTAGATGTATCGTAATAGCGTACCGGCGTGCGCGTGTGTAGTAATCAATATGTGTTTTAGTTTCATTAGTGTACAAATCGACGTGTACGTTACGGGTTACACGCCGTCACGTGACTTTTAGACGTTCCTGCACGCGTTCGAATTCGTATAAATTATATTATCGCTTCACAGATCCTTCGTCCTGATACATCCGATCTTCATTCGAGTACATATTTTTCTATACACGTTTACACATACACAGATGGGTCAGGTAGTACACGTACATATTTTTCCTTCGTGTAATGAATTTTCATAAAAATCCGATCTTTATCGCCGCCGCCGTTGTACGTTACACACGTGACGTCCGAGTACATTATAATCGTCGTGTAAACGCAGTAAGTTATAATATTTTATCTCTGAGATCCGAGAGCGAGATCGAATAACGTACGTGCGCGCGTGCACGTGTTTACGTATAGGATACGGATAAAATATTATAACGCGTATAACTCGAGAGGTACCTCGTGATTGTTGGACAAACATCCGAACGACGTTTAATGACAATGATAACGAAACGGTATTCGGATCCGAACCGATGTATTTATTCCGCTGGCCGAATGTTCGTATGATACGGAAAAACAAAACAAAAAAAAAAAAAAATCAAACAAATACTCAATCAACAAATATTATGTAAATCTTTTAATATTATTATATTTTTTATAAATGATATTTTTTCGTGTGTCCCGTATAAACGTATATAATATATACACGTATGAGAGAGAGAGAGAGAGAGAGAAAAATAAAAATAATATGTCAACGCCGTCAGCACGATAACTCTGAACGGTGAATAATTCGAATTTATTGCTCCCGTCGGTATACATAGAATTCAACACAATTGATTGCCGCAGCAGCCGCCACCGCCGCCGCCGAATCACGCAAAAAAACTACTTAAACCCGTTTAAACGCAATTTTTATCTTCCGGAATTATAAACCTGCGCGTAGCGTCGCGCACACGATTTTATGTGAAAAAAAAAATAAAAAATGGAATGAAAAATAAGATAAAAAAAAAAAAATAATAAAAAATAAAATGTCTATTAAAATATATATCGTGGCGTGTGCGTATGTAACGACGTCGTTTTACATGCGGTTCACACGATTCGTTTACATATTTTAATCTTTTTCCCTCGTCCGTCCTCACCTCCACCAACTCCTGTGCCGTGCGCGTCTACGTACCTACTAAATATAATATACTGCTCCCTCGAACGCGGCGACGGTGGCGGCCAGCTGTGGTGGTGGTGGTGGTGGTGGTGGACACACCGTCGTCAAACGGCGCGCGCGACAACAATATTTTTCTCGTCGGATGCGACGTGATAAAGACACGTTTTTTACTTGTTTTCATTTTTTTATTTTATTTTTTTTAATTTTATATTACTCCGTTTCGTTTTCCCACATCCCGTTCACGCCGCCGCTGAGAAGTCAGAGTGTACGTACGTACACCGTACGCACGTTCGCGATTAAAATCATATCACGCCCAGAGACGAAATCACTTGAGAAATAATAGAAAAACGGAGAGACGACCGAATCGTAAAAGTGATAAAAACAAAGAAACGAAATGAAATAATAATCGTATATTATAGCAGTGACCGTTTCCGTCGCCGCTCACTAAATATCTGCCTCGTAAAATCATAATATGACGACGACGGTGTTCGTAAGTAGGGGGAAACCGTAGGGAAAACGCTGTACAAAGTATGCGAGCGAATAACGTGATATTTAAATATAAAAATTCCGAGTACATAAGTATCGCAGACACCCGATCCATGGTCGGATGTAGGTTTACGTATTATATATGTATTACGTGTACGATATCATCGTACGATTTCTCGTTTGATAAAATGCGTATAACGTTATAGTAATAATAACAGTACAATTTGATATTGTAATGGTGTAAGCGTTTGGTTGTTTTGTGGATTAGTTCCATTGTCGCCGAGAAGAATATTATACGCATTTAAGTTTTAGTTAAACGGTTGTCGATATGTTATCATAACTATCGTTTCTCCGATTGTCGCCCTGCTGCAGAGTTTCAGTTGTATTATTTGCGTGTATTGTGCACATACTTTTATACTATGTATGTCTATATTATGGTAAAATACAAGTATTTATATGTATACTATTCAATAACTTCAATATCCATGTGATACTTTTATAACATTACACAGTGATATTCGAACTTACGCTGATATACTAATATTATGAGCAGACAAGTTGTGAAATTAATTAACGTAAAAACGATGTGTACTCGAGGAGGGTCCGGATCTTTGACCGGGCGATTGAGGGTCCTCCCCCGGGGAGCTATTCTACCGAGGGGCGCCTCATAGGCGGATGTGATTGTTTCAGAATTAAAAAATAATCAAATAGAGCCCAGCAATCGAAAAATACTTAATAAACTAAAAATGAATGAGATCATCGAACCATTAACACAAATGAATAAGCTTCGAATATGAAAATACCTAATAAACTGTCATTGAAAATACAGACGCTGTAACAGAGAATTTTTTTATTCATCAATAATTCGTAATTCAGTAAATAGTATATTCAACAATTTTTTTTTATAGTAAAATATTCGCTCAAATCAGAGACGCCAATATTGTACGATCAAGTATCCATTGTTATGATGTGTTAACATTTCGGAATCAACGAATGGACTATACTGATAAGTTGATTTGTTTTTTTTTTTTTTTTCAATAAATTTCAAAAACTATATAGGTAGGTACCTAACACATGAAAATATCGATAAATCAAAAGCGATATCACATTACAGCTATTCATGTCTACCGACCCAAACGAGCCCGGCGCAAGCATGCATATCGATCGTCGATCGATAACATTGAATTCGACCGGATCACGAGCGCACGCCGATAACAGCGAAATGTATACCAGTAATAGAATATTATCTTTTGATTTATTTCTCCCCGTCAATGTACACACGTTTGGCGCCTGAAGTGTCGCGGACGTTTTGCGTGAACGCAGCTGGAAGGTTCGTTTGTATTTTACTAAGCCGTGACTCCGAATAGCCGAAAATCCCTCGAATAAAATGCGCGTTACAACATTATTTGGTTACCGCAAACGTACATTAATCATATATGTGATGATAACGAATACGATACGATACAATAACAGTTAGTTCAGAACATGTACGTCGAATTGTTTAATCGTCCGACCGAAGGCATAAAAATCATGAATATAATTCACGGTTATTCGTATATGTAGGTATGTATATCGTAAATATACGATACATTACATGTATGTAATTTGTCAAGTATACATGTACGATTGGAGACGACACGATTCATACATGCGTCTCATTTGATGGAACGCGATATTACGTAAATGAGTGTAAATATAAAGACTCTATTTACCGATTAAAAGGCCGTGTACGATGTGTATACGTTAAGGGTAGAGTTCGAAAATGGGAAGTTTACACATTACTCGGGTAAAGTAAGCGTTATTCGTATGAATAGTATAGTTTGTACTTTATCCAGTGTGCCATGGATAAGATATGGAGTAGAAAGAAAACCAAATCGTATTTATTCGAAAAAAAAAATGATAGAGTAAATTATCTAATATTCAGTTATTTCATGTATGATAAAATTTAAAAAATGTTTAGTTTATACTCGCGTTTTATTAATATCATCCACAATTGATATTTTGTCGTATTTTTATTATATGAAAAAAAACTTTGTCCACTCAAAGGTAGATAGTGTACAAATAATCCGACTAATGTATCTACAAAATAGACGTTTTACAAATATGTTTACTTTATCCGATAGGCATTAGTAGTGTTCACATTACCCGGGTGATGTGTACATTACCCGTAAATATATATATATATAACGAGTAAAACGCAATAATGATACACATACATAGTTAATATTTCAGTGATCAATATAACTATAAGCTGCATAAAAATGCCAAGTACAATGCTCGTTCGACGTAATTACTTATTACTAATTAACATAATTTCAACGGTATAGCATGTAAGGTATAAAAAAACACACATACAGCCACAATGCAAATCCCAGGGCATAACTGGTTAACAATAATTTTCCTGGGTAAAAGCTTTTGAACTTGTATGGTATCGCTAACGTTGATGACGTAGTAGTGTTAAATCGCGATTAAGTCAACGGTGATTTAATGTTTTTTTTTTTTTTTTGTTTGTTTGACCGGCTTCAACGATTCGTCATTATTATTTTGTACGGAAAAAATATTCTAGTAAAATAATTATATCTTATATTATTATACGCTAGTCGGAACGGAACGAAAAGATTAAAAACAAAAACGAGATAAATATGTATAAACAATCATTATCTTAGTGTCATGGATGACGCGTGCGCTACGCAAACTTATTTGAAAATCGTCACTGTACTTGTATTTCACGGCAGATAGAAACGAAAACAGTGCAACGCATTATGCACACACGTAGACTACTGAAAATACGTATTTCATTTACCTCTGTCGACAATTTTCCCAAACAAATTTTTGCCGGTCAAAAAGTTTTTCGTCGAACAATTCCAACGTCTGTTGCGGAACTGGTGCTGGCACTCTTGCAACGCCATGTTCACGCCGCGGCTGATGGCCTGCAATACGCCCGGATTTTCGCGGATCATTCTTCTCTGTTTGTTGCGCAACAACGTTAGCGACGACGTGTCCATGAGCATCATGCCCGGGGTCATTGGTGCCAAGTTGTTAGGTTCGCCAGCTTTCGCGATTCCCCTGTTGAAAGACGAGAAGAGATAAAAATAAAAAAAAAATTGTAAAACAAATATATGGCCAGCGTGTTCTGTGGGATCGGTAACGATATGTTTAGTGGTTACCGGTTAAACGTGCGCGCATCACACGGCGTTACAACATCGTAACACCGTTTGAGACATCAACGTACGTCCACGGCTAATTAATTTTCTCAGTTCACCGATTTCGATCGCCCAAGATCGAAAACCGTGGAACGCGAGCGCATAACAATACAATAATATAGCCGTCAACAACAATACCAACACGCGTTTGTAATAGTATATAACATTTGCTTACCGCCGTCGTCGTACGTTCCGTTACGGGCGTCCGCGCGGCACAATGGTACCACCGTAGTGATATCCATCGTACGTGTATTACATCCGTCGCGGGTCTATTAAACGAACGTAACGCGATCGAATCGCGTAGAGGTTAGAGACATCGCGGACTACAGACTTTACATCGGCCGATAGTTTGGTCGGGTTCTTAATCAGTACGAAGTTATGTGCAAGAGCGCACATTATAACGATTTGGTATCGGCCGATCAATAAGTTTGATGGGCTGCACGATTGCCTTCGAACTAAACAGTCGGCGAACTATCGGCCGACTGCTTAATCAGTATGGCGATAATTCTAATCCGCACACTGCCGATTTTTAGTCTGCCGACTCGGCCGATTCACCAGAGCTTTGGAGCGGGAAAGGTATAATAAAAGTATACTAAAAAGCGACTGCTATCGTCGGCAGAATTCAGCACAACTAAAAAAATCTTTCCAGAGCAGTCGGCCGACCAATGATCGGTTTGCGTAGCACCACCAACCAAACTGTTCAGTTGGCCCTGCGTGCGCGATATCAGCCCGACCCGATTAAACTATCGGCCGGTATAAAGTCTGTGGTCCGCGATGTCTCTTGGGCTAATAATACACGCGCGGGATGGATCGCGGTACGCACGAATGGATCGATTTATTTAAATGTACGGCATGAACGCGGTGTGTCGCGTAATAGGTTTTCGGTCTCCTCGAGATCATTTCGTGCGCGGACGGACGTTCTGCGATACCGGACGCGTACAATCGAACGGCGCAGCAGCAGTGGGGTGAACGCTTGAAAAAAAATTCAATCGGCGTACAACTGTTTCTCGCGCGTTCGGCATTCAGCGAGTTCTCGACCGTTCAACGTTTTTCGTTGACTTTTCCCGATCGTTTTTTTTCAATGTAAAAACAGTTTTTTAAACCGCGGCCACACGTACACGGTTCGCATACCTTGAACACAATACGGTCGTGGAAAACCGCCGAACGTCCAACGATTAATGTACGCGCGGGATTATATTTTAGCGAACGAAAAACACTCGTGTTCGGAACGAAACACGCGATGACGGTGATCAATATTATGCGTTGAGACGTCTAAAATCCACACGCGCGCACACATATGTACACGAACGTAGTCTCACAAGATTGGTCTGAAGTGTGTCTCGGTTGCCACGGCCGCGTGCGGTGCCCCCGCCGCCACTGTCAAAGTGTCATCAACGCAGTGCCTCTCGGACGCAGCCGAGACGGGAGTGAAGGGAAATCGACGTGCCCGGACAATGGACCCGAGCACTTGAGATCGACGAGTCTGAGTATGCGACGTGTATAAACGTAAACACGCACACACGGAAACGAAGAAATTAAGCGCATATAATGGACAAACAGGGATGTATTATTTGTTGAACGTGTCGACGGATCGACGACAAGAAGACGGACGTGGAAGAGGAGCAGCGTCAGCGTTACGTTCTGGGAAGGAAAAAAGAGAAAAAGAAAGAAATATAACTCGGACTGCCCGCGCGATAGGTCCGACGCGCACACATAATAATAATAATAATAATAATACACGGACGTGTTACGGGTACAAGATATTGGTCTTGGTTTGGCTACGTAATTTTCGAGATACGATGAGATTCGTTTTATTTTTCATTTTTATCAATACGTAATATTATGGAACGCTGAAACGTTAAGGAAATATAATCGAAAAAACATGCGCCGCGCATTTAAAAGATTTAACGTGTCGCGTATTATGTTATTTCGTTTCAGCTAGCCGTTTTCTCGTGTTCCACACGAATATCAACGTATTGTACAACGCGTTCGTTCGCCAACCGCTGTATACGTGTAAACGTCGAAAAATTATGGGCAATAAAAGCTTATACAAGCTATGCGTAGGGCAAAAGAAATTCACAGTTCATGTCGCGCCGTACGGCAGAGTGACGAACGCGTGTAATTTAGTAACTTTAAAAGGTGATTATCGTAAAAACGTTAACCGTTGACGTGCAAGATAAAAGATAAATCGGTGAGGAATGTTCCGGTGGACATTTACTCGTTTGTATAAACAGAAAAATGTACACACGTACAAAAAGGTAGGAAGCATTGCGCCAGTGAGTGCCTATATTATATTCATAACTCGTTTTCTCGGTTTCTCTTTCTTCCCATCTATCTCTTTTGGTTTCGTTGTTATTTATTTATTATTTTTTTTTCTCTCTCTCTCGTATAAATTTGTTTTGTTTTTGTGTGAACGAAAGGAAGAGATATGGAAGATAGACGGGGAGAAAGAGAAATAATACGATCGCGCGACCGAGTATACGTGCGCGCGCGCGCGCGTGTGTGTATAGTGTAATTTATAGTATCGCTAGCTCAGCTCTAGCCTATCTCCCTTGGTCATCGGTCGTCGTGGGAATATTCGCGTCCCGGCTTCATTCCGGTCGACATTTTTATATTTTAGGTCTCTTAATGTCGTTAATCATCCGATTCTTATTTTCTTTACCCGTATACACGTTTATACGGTTCACTAACGCGGCGCGCAGCCCGAACGCGCGCACGCGCTGACGCTGTTGTACGCAGCCGCCGCCGCGGTCAAGACGCACGACGACTTCATTGTTACGCTGTTGCGCGCGTAAGAAAGGCTTCTTTGTGTACGTGCCCACGTCTCGATCGCGATAACGGAAAAATCAGCGGCGGCGAGCACGACGATTCGGTTTTTCGATCCGCGGCGAGCGTTCGCGAGTCGGACGTCGGAAGGGTGTTTTCCGGTGTTAAAACAACGGGCCGATATCGACTAACCGGAAGGGGATACCTGGTTGCGGGCCGCAAACGAGACGGATATCGGACGTAAAGCCTACCCGACCGCGTCGGCTACGACCGGGAGTCTCGTGCGCGGTACGTGTGTAGTCGCGCGCTGTTGGTCCCGAGTACCGTTCGAGTGCACGGTTAGTGCCCGTAACGTACCGGCACCCGGAACGGTTTGTCGAATCGATTCCGGGACGCGTTCGTCGGCGGGTACGCGGAGGAACAACCGAGAAAACTTGCCGAATCCGGGGGCGGCGGCGTTGCGTCCGAACGGGGGGGGGAAAAAAAAAAAAATCAAGAACGAATCCGTTTCGTTGTTCGGATCGGATGGACATCGAGCCGACGCTAGCCGTCGACTGCAAGTCGCCGCCGGGCGGCGGTGACGGACGCGCGGCGAAGGCGATGTAAAACCCGTGCGGAAAGAGAACACACGAATCCTGTCGGACGAACGTTAATTCGTTACGATGTAGAGCGCGACCGCCGGGGAAATGGTGTTTTGTTGCAGCTGTCATTAGCGCGCGTGAACGTTTCGGAGCGAACGACGCGTCGACGACGTGCGCACGTAATACACGCGCGTACACGTTTATGTTCGGATCGTGCGCGTGTACGTGTTTTTCCCTACACATTGTTCCCGTTATTGGTTACAAATTCGAAAAGAAAAAATAATAATAATAATAACTCTCGTACCTTGTCTACCTCTCCTAAACCGGAAATTAATTAACGAACAACATTTTTCGTCCAGACGTACGCAACAGTGATGTTAAGGTGCGCACCGAGGGTAATTAGCGGTCTAAATGATTTTTACATCGGTTTCGTTACTGGTTACGGACTCGTACCGTATTACTACCGCTTACCGGTTCGCGCAGCACCCGGTACTCGTATAACGCGCGGGACGCGTAATTTGGAGCGCGGCGGTCATATATTATCCGGGGATACGTCGACGGCGGAGGGCGTTGACGTAATATTCGAGTGACGGAAACACGTCTCGACGGATTGATGGACTCGAGAGAAAAATAAAAATAAAAATACCGGCCCATAACCGTTTCGCCTTACAAGTGTCATCGCGAGAAGATTCACTCGAGTACTCGAGTTACGTTGTTGTTACGGCCCGGTCACTTGAACGGTCCACGGAGCGCATGAAAATGTAAAGGATCGTTGCGACCGGCAGCGACGCACCGACGCGCGTCGTCGTCGCAAAACATTGAACCCGAAAGCGAAAAATACGTATTGAAATCGTAATAAAAATTGACGTTCGATAATTTGCGACCACGGGTCTATATCATTTTTAATTTTTTTTTTTTTTTTAGTTATTACGTACCTATACGTATATAATGTTTCGATCGTTCAACTCAAGAGGCGCGTCGACGTAATTAACAATATAGTAATTGTGTTTCGACGTTGAACTCGTAATAAACCATTATAAACGGAATGACAAATGTACAAGTAACCGTAAAAATACTTCTCTAGAAAGAATCGAGTGCGGTCCAAAACGGTTATTAACCAAAAGCGCAAATCGCACAAGTACCTACTTATATTTATTGTAATTATACTCGGTGTCGGAAAATGTTTATAACCATGTGAATAATATACAAACATGAAATGCGTTGATGAGTTCGTGAAAGCACGTGTGTGTATATGTATGACGTCACGATTTGTTAAGTGAATATTTGTGTTTTTATCGTTTTCATTATCTTCAAGAACTTAATTATTTGCTAGAGATAAAAAAAAAAAAAATGATGCCGGAAAACGAATTTTTTGTTTGTTCCGATTGTTCTGATTAAGGGGACGGAAAAATGTTTCGTCAAAATATTCGTTTTTAGTTCTTCATTCATATCCGTGTACAATAGATTTTAAAAGATTCGAAAAAACGATAATGTAAAAGCCTTTACGGGGCCCTATTTATTTATTTTTTATAGCAGTTTCGACGAGTAGTCTCCCCCTCCCCATTATCAGTGTAAATTGAAATTAATGGGGTGGCTTCACGAGGAAGCTATCCTATTGAATCGTTTCCATGTATACATGTCTATCAACTATTTACAATAGTCTCAGATAGCCATCTAGACATACAGACGACCGCTTTGGGTGGTGGTTTCCCCGTGTCTCTCTTATTAGGGATCTTCTCTCAATTGATCCTCTCCTCCCCTTTAATATTTGATATGTGTATATACATATATAGATATAAATAAATAAATGTTGATGACAAAAAACATCCTAGGTATACCTTACGCATTATACCTTTATACACGTACGTATAACAATTATAAAACGTTTCACGCTGAGATCATGGTGACATTCCTACCAGATTCAATGTCATAATTATTAACCCGCACTATAAAAAAATAATAAATATTATACTACTTAATAGTGCCGAATTTCTAAATGATTCAAACCGTATGGATATCGTTTCTATTAGGGATTATGTAATTTATATAGAATATTGAATAGGTATTCGGATATTTGTGTTTTGTGAATAAAAAGAGTTCTATACTTATGTTTTCATTATTATTATTATTATTATTTTTTTATTTATCGAATTTCTTACATAATTTTTGCAACGCCCATTAAGTTTCGCTTAGAATTAAGATACGAAATAATTAAAAATTAGAGTTTTTAGCGTATCAAAGTAATTATACGATATGAAAATTCATAAATAAATGTTCTTCTCATTTTTGTTAGCATTTAACGTCGAATATTAATTCAAACAATTATACAATTCAAATTTGTGTACTACATATTTAGAATCCTTTACACGTTTTTCTAGCATCGATCAGACATGTTATCATACATTTTTCTTAAATCAACTTAAAACATTACTCATGATTAACATAATTTAACATTTTATTTACAAAAATATGTATAATTCTTTAAAATTCAACTATAACTTAAATTAACTTCATTCATACAATACTACGGGAAAAATTAACGACAAATAAATAGTACAAATTTGTTTATTATATTGCATTTCTTATAGTTACCAAGTTATAACAGATTTAAAGATAGTCCTAAACGAAATTAATAATTTTAACGAAAAAACGTTATCGGTGAGAAATGAATAATTTGAAATAATAAAATCTTTTTAAGTCGATTTTATTAAGTTTTTGGTAGAATATAAACTAATTTCTTATGATATCAATTTTCAACCCTTCTTGTAAATATGACTGTGGCTATCATAATAATACGAATAATAAAGATATATTGGATAATCATTAAACAACAATAATGATTCAAACAGTTCTTCTATTTTTGTACGTATTAACCGCATACGTTTCGCGTAAATAAGATTTTCGCTTGAAATCTCGTAAAAAGAACAACAGTTATTACTCTGAAACTATTTTACTATTGTTATATAATCCAGAAATCATAAAATCGAAGATAATTTAAATCAATCAAAACATAGATCAATTAAAATGATTGCTTATTACGATGTTTTACATTGAAAAGTAGAAACATTAAAAAACAAGTGATTATTATTGTTGAACTGAATGCGTTGTAAATGGATACCTCAAACAACTCTAAATAATATCATAACCGATCCTTATAACTAACTCGTACTGAACACAAATAATGTATTTAAAATTTGTTGAACCAAAAACAATTGTAATTCAACAAATCGCACATAATTTCTAAACTATTGTTAAAATACACTACGAAGTATGCGAGTTATAAACGATGATTCGGATTCGAAATTAAAATAACCACGAACACAATAAATCACGCACGCGATGATATTTATACAATGAAAATGGATAATGGATTATAATAGATAATTACTCACCACCAGTGTGTACCCTTGTATTTGCCTTCTCGGTGCTTAGCGTAGACGGTAGCGATCTCGTCGACCACGAGGGCCAGGACAATAGTTCTGATTATGACTGTAGCCTTCATGTCACATGTCTAGTTGAACACGATATGGGGTGAATTTCGTTCCGTCGGCGGTATGTCGAAGAAACGGAAAGGTTTTAGAGGACAACGCGATCGGGAGCCGCCGGTTGGAAAAAAAGAACAGATAAATTAAAAAAATAAAATCGAACTGTGAGTAACGGTCACTCTCTCTCGAGAGAGAGAAAAAAAAAAAAAAAACGAGAAACAATCGAAGATTGCGCGACGACGGAACCACTGGGTACAGAGCTGGGTATACACGCGGTGTCCACTGCAAGCGGCCTACTGATGAACAACGCACCCCAGTCCGGCGGAGCAGAACGACTGATCGTGAATGCGTGACATCTCGCGAGAGCCGCAGGAAAACCGCCGCCGCCGCCGCCGCCGCCGCCGCCGCAGCCACCGTCCTCGTGGACCGAGGGGGGAAAAAAAAAAAAAAAAAAAACCCGAGAAGAAAAGGAGGCGGAGGAGGGACGCGCTCGAGTGCCGCCCACCGGCCGCGCGGCCGCCCACCGGTGATCGTCTCCCCCACCCCCACAACCGCGGCGTCCGCGCGCGGCTCCGTGTGTATCCGGCCGGTCGCCGGTGTATTCGCGCGCGCGCGTGAGACCCCGTCGATCCGGCGGCGGCGGCTGCTGGTCCGCCGGTGAGGTTATTGGAGGAGGCGAACGGTGAAAGCGGTTATTGGGCAACACCGCGGAAAGGGAGAGCGCGGTGCGCCGGCGGTCCGTTTCGCACACACGTACCGGCGGCACGGCAACAGGTATACGCCTCTTTCGAGACGTCGCGTTCTCCGCGCGCGTACAATAATATTCGTATGGGTTTTATTGCGCGCGCGAGTAAAATGTTTGTGCGACGGGCGGCGGACGATAGAACCGACTACGTCGTCGTCGTCGTATCGTCGATCTATACGCGTTGGCCGTTGCGTTTTTCGCGCACACGTTCGGAGAGAAAAATATACATAATCACGAGCGTGTACGGTTAACGCAGAGGCGTGTCCAACGGGCCCGGGCCTACCCTGATTTTTAACCTTTAAGTATACCCAATGTACGCGTTTTAAAATTATATTTATACAAGCACACCAAATACTGAATGTGAAATGTATGTACATCAACGTACTGCGCGGGCAATTGTGCGACCATATTTTTTATCCATCATATTTTCCGACGTAACCGATACAAATGTTTGTCATTAAATAGAAATCAATAATCGTAAAATTCATCGGCGATTCTCAAGCGCTTCTCGGAAACACCCCGTATTTCTATGCGGATATCACACGACCGTCGTCGTTTGGTCGGCGATCGCCGCCGTAGTGTTGAGCGTCAAAAATTTCTTATAACCAGGCCTGCCTCGAATTTCGGTCTTAGACACGCCTCCTGGGTGAATACCTACGTTCACGTGGTACACCGCGTTATCGGTTGTTGCGCGCATTGAAATTTACTCGATTTCGTACGAAAAGTGTGTACGAGTACAATGTACATATGCATATGTACGTGTTATACGTGCGCTGTATAGGTACGCGTGCATCCGTATGGTTTGTAGGTTTTTTTTTTTTTTGTTCAATCACGTTTATTGATTGTCTTTTTACAGCTGTACACGGTATTTTTAAGGTCTTTGTGTTTTTCGATTCAATGTGGTCCGGTCCGGTCCTGACTGACAAAAAAAAAAAAAAAATAAATAAATAAATAATAATAAGTCGCTCCAGTCTGGTCCGTCCGCCTTCAGTTCGATAAGACAATAATGGTTTAACAATAATTTTGTTCGAAAGTATGATTTTACTTGTATGCATTACATAATAAAATAATACCCAACATAATAGTATGTTATCTTAACCCGCATGATAATGTTTTGGGACACCAAAATAGCTCGTCACGTTTCTGTATGGTTTTATTGGTGACACAATATTTACTTATTACAGAATGTAAATGGAGGAATAAAATTATGATTGCAAATTTTCTTATCTGAAATCTGTATTATTTCCGAATGTATACTATATGCGTTGTGGACAATTTTAACAATAATTTTAAATTTTAAATTTATTTTAAATTTTATTTTGAACTTTTTACGTCATTCTGTCATATTTTTGAATATCGATCCGTTTTCATTCTCTAATTCAACCATATTAGCCGCTATAATCAAATACAACGTTCATATACTTTCAATAATATCGATTTTTAATATGGACTTGAAGACAATATTTGCTGTGAATTTCTGTAAATGTATTTAATACTGTAGTCAAGATTGATTTGGAGATTTCGAATCTAACATTTTAATTTCAAATTAAATAAACGATATACTAAAGTGATAACCTTAATCACTAACATTGAAGCTTATATACAACTGCTGATAAAAGAAAAATATCAAAATACAATAGCTGTATGTATTCTTAAACCAATAGTATTTCCAGCATTATTTATAAATGTTATTTCGATTCATGTGCGAAAAATAGAATTTAAATTGAATGAATGTGGATTTGAAATAGTGAGCTTTTTTTTTAACAGTTTTTGTCGAGAACTATACTTTAAACTTCAATACTCAATTATTTTAGAAAAATCAAAACTTACCCCAATACATACGTATAAATACGGATATTTTTAATCGCATATACCGTGTGCACTAGGTAGAATTAAGTGATTTAAGACATAGGATCAAGGAAATCACCCCTGGTCTTATTAGTTCATCACCCACCACAGCGCAACGTGGAAGTGTGCGCGCTTGAATCAAACCGATCATAAGAGCGATTAGGGAAAAGTTCTGTTTTCGAAACATCGGTTTTCAGCAGATCGATGCCATTTACGATACACATGCGCTATTAAGCATAACCACGATACATTATTACAGTATTGTTTATACTCGTGCAGCGTGCACGTTAGGCCTCCACGCCCACACGGTACACGTACACTCGTGTCGGACGGTGTGCACATGTATGCACCGTGTACGTTTCAATATATTTATGTAAATATAATCTATATCAATGCGATACGGACGAAGGCGTGCGGCAAATGAAGACATTTAGTAATGCGTACGAGTATTGCGTAGCAACTTTACACGCCTATCGCGCATATATATATATGTAATTTTTTTTAATACGTACGAGAGTACGGTAATTATTCAATAATGGTTTTTTGCACGGATGGCGTCACGCGTGCTCGGCACGGTCGAACGTACATCTATAAATCATACGCCGGAGCGTGTTTTACGAGCCGAATCGTTCCTCCGTGCGTACGAACGCGCGCGCAGAACGGGCGGTGTTGCGCGGAAAATTAAAATTTGCGCTTTCAAAATCGTTTTGCGACGCGTCTCACACTCCGCGCGCGCAGTCGCTCTTTCTCCGTCGCTCCCTTCGTCCTTACGATTCCAATAAAGGTATCCCGATGCAATATAACACGTGCGTTTGACACGGATACCGCCGCCGCCGCCGCCGCTATTGGGAGAGAGAAAATATAAAAAAAAAAAAAAAAAAAAAAGCGCGAGACTTCACGCGTCGTATACCTACAGGGTAGATACCGTGTATACGTATACCGTACGATACGGACGTGTAGGTAGTAACACGTAAGACGACTCACCACCGGTACAATAATAACGTCGATGCATACATCTTAATACTTAAACGTGAGTGTTTTACGCGTGTGCATATACGTACGTACGTACGTTATGTATACTAGGCCCAACGGCGTGGCGGATTCATTGTGCGAGCATGCAGTGAGATTTAAACGTCTGAATAATCGTGAAATACACAATTGGAGGATATAATGTTTGACGGTCTCCGTACGCACTATTTGTACACGTATAAATATATCTTGTTTTCAGAACGCCCAACTATTACACGATATTCGTCTGTATTATTACGTATTGTTACTTTTTCGGTGACCGTAATAACGGTGACGTTTCTTCTTCTTTTATTTTTTTAACGTCGTGCAGTGCTGCGCACGATCCATAAAAATTTACGATCCGTTTCACCCGTTGGCCCGATCAGTTCCCTAGAAGTAAACGGTTCGCGTTGTTTATCTCGGTGTCGGCGGTCCCCAAGATTACAATCAACGCGAACAACAGTCGTGCTTGAAAAACATCAGCCGCATCGCGTACGAATCGTATTACAGCGAAACCTCTAAATACCGGACGCTCTCGGTAGCCATAGTTGTGTCCATTGTTTAGAGGTGTCCGCTATTCAGAGGGGAGGGGGAGTGTAAATTCTCGGAGAAATTAACAATCACACGTTTACAGTAATACAGTATATATATATATATATATATATATATATATATATATATATATACATGATATTATTTGTACGTATACGTATAATATTTATAATAATGATATTTGCATACATTTTGTACATAATGTGTTACATAATTATGAACACGGAATGTATTTATAAATACAATGCGTTCGCTGCTATATAAATAGATATACGCGTAAATCATGTGTCAGTGTGTACATCGATTTTGACGAAGGACAATGTATCCTATAGTAATATTTAGATGGTTGTACAATGAAACGTTTAAGATATTCGCAGTATGAGTGTAACTCATTTAGGCTACCAAATTGTATGTGTAGAAGGACATTGATATTGGATATCATTATCGTTTTCGATTGCAGCTAGTGGGTTTTTTAGAACGACAAAAACAGAGTTCAAAAAACGTAATAGTTATACGATTATACTCGTACATATGTACTGTTTATTTAACGTGAATCATCTCGCGTATAGGATGCGGTCCAAAAGAAAAACCCTACGCATTTTAAAGTTTAAATATTTATTAAAAAATAATCATGGTAAATAAATATTTAACAGTGTTTTTATAGTAATTATTACATAACGTCGATTGTCACGCTGCAACTCTACCGTGCGGAATGAGTAATTTCAATAGACCAATCGTTTTTTTGTTTATCAATACGCAAATCATATCAGAAATTTTCCAAATAGTATAATTAGTAAATATAATGTAATAACATTATACTTTTTTACTAACGGAAATCAATCCAATTCGCAAGATATACATTAAACACTTCTAACATGCATAAATAATATAATTAAAATAAATAATATTAATAATAATAACAGATAAATTCATACATACAATTCTTATGTACAGTTATTATACTTATTCAGTAAAAAAAAAAAAATGAATTATCAATAGAGGTATGAAGCAAATTTTGAAAATTTACTTTTTTTTGACTTAATATGTTTGAGAATGGATATTTCAAAAATCTTTTAAACATTTTTGGAAAATATAATATAGGTATAATTCAAACGTAAACAATATGCGGTAGAGTGTAAACACTTGTATAACATGTATTTTATTTAGGTTCGGCGGTCGATTTAAAAAATAACGGTAAGTGCCTGTTGGCGAGATCGCGTAATTTAATCCGTACGTTGTTAATTGTTAATCAATCTCCTTTTAAATTTGATGTACGACATGCTCGCGGTTAAATATTTAGTGTGAGAATATCATCAATACAGAAATTATATCAGCACTGTTGACGCATTCCTCATAAATTGAAAGCAGCAATCGAATTAAGCCTAGAATGCAGTAATCTGATCAGGAACTTTTTTAAAACAAATACACTCATTCAAAAAAATGTAAGCTGATGTGTAACATCCATTATGTGAAGAAAAGAAATTATAATAATAACCTATAAAATATAATGATCATGGTTAAAGGTTTTATTGATCAATAAAAAAATGTATATATATTTACATTGTACACGAATACAAAGAGCTAGGTCAGTTCATCGAAACACGAATTAATTAGAGAATTTTAAGGCATAACATTTTAGCTTATTAGCACAAAAATAAACAAATTCAAT